CCCCCAAACCGTGCCTCCTTGTAAAATGGAATCGAACAGGAAAACAGACAAATCGAACACGGACACACAGCTCTGTGTGTTAATAGTGAAGATTTGCATCTGACACAAAAGGAAGATGTGAGAACGGTGATGTGTGAGGTCTGAAGCCGCAGAAGACTCGTTTAGCGGAGTAAGTGCTCCAAAGGGCTTCTTATCAAAGCAGTTCCAAACTCAGGTCTGAACCGGCAGCTGCTTCCTTTGAGCACCAGAGTGAGGTCTGGAATGGTGCCAGGTGAGTGTGCGTGCGCGCGTATGTGCGTCCGCGCGTGTAGAGGAATCCTCCCCACTCCCCAAATCAGGAGTCCCATCTGTTGTTGACAACCATCGCGGGGCAAAGTGGGGGGAAAGCCTCAGGAGTCCGGGCAGGGAGAAGTCTTATTTTCCTGAGCAGATGCAGACACCTGGCCTCCCCAAACCTGCCAGCCTCTGTGCAAACACAGCCGGCTCTCGCAGGGCTCGGGCTGTCTGGGTGCCAAAGGTGGAAGCCATTTCACGCAAGAGCCCCAGCTGCTTGCTCAGGCCAGCACTGAAGGCAAACAGCTTCTGGGTGAAGCAGCAGGTTGGGTGGGAGGGGCTTCTGCCAGTGCCATCCCGCTCGCCCATCCCCCGCCCAGACCCCGCATTCCGGATTTCTCCGCACGCAGTTTTATTTTCAGAAGTGGGGCTGCCCCACAGTCAGACTTGTGGCCACACATGAAATGGAGTCAGGGTCCTGAGGTGGGAATCGCAGAGGTGTGTGGAGGAACGAGGCTGGCAGTGATGCAGGATGAGAAGAAGGGGGGGACGTGTGTGGATGTGGGGTGTGCACCTGGCTACCTCTCTCTGGTTTCAACTTCCACACTTCCTCAGGCCAGTGCTCCCACCCTCCCCACCTCCTCAACCTCCTTTCCATACAGGGATGACAAAAGCTACGGCTGGAAGTTTACTTCTCATCCAGGAGGCTAAGTGCGTCACGCGCATGCGCTCCTATAACCCACAGCAACCCCAGGGGGTAGTCACCAGCTCCACACGGTGACGGGCAAATCCAACCCAGAGCCACTCTGACCACTAGGCAGCACTGCCACAAAAGGCTGAGGGCGACCAAAACAGAGAACCCCCCCCAGACAGAGACCCCACCCAGGGGGAGTAGAGGGAACTTGGGGTTACCAGGAAAGAGAGGCACGACTCAGGCCCTAGACGTCAAGAGGCCCCTGAATGAAATGAAGCCACGCTGGGTCAAGCCTGGGTACCCACTGCACACTTCCATTTCCTGAGTCCTGTTTTGGGTTGTGTGGGAATGTCCTTTGCTCTAGGCCCTGGGGGTGGGGCTGGTTTCATAGACTGAGCTACTGAAGGGACCTTTCTGGACCATTTGCTCCAACCCACTGGTTGTACAGATGAGGAAACTGAGGTCTGGAATTCAAAAGTGACCTGCTCAAAGTGATCTGGGGGCAGAGCTGGACTAACACACAGGTCCCTGAGCTCTGGTCCAGGCCTCTGTCCATGTTTCCGTGAAGCCTGCCTTAGGCCTGCGAGACACCATTTCTTGGGAAAGAGAAATTCCCTGCTATTCCCATCAGTGAGGGAGGAGACGGGGTGAGAGGCAGGGAACAAAGGGGTGAGGGGGTGGGTAGAATGTGAAGGCCTGGCTCCTGGCCTGGACCAGCCCCGGTTCCCCACTGTACAGCTGAGGCTGCCCCTTTGGCATTGTAAAATGTTTCCCCATCGAAATTTTTTGGAGGGTGGGTAGGCAAAGAGGTCTGAAGGAAACCCAGAAACAACTGAAACAGAGCTGGGAAGTTAGGGTCCTGGGGGCACTGGAAGAACAGCCTGACTGCTGGCTTAGCTGCAGGCACCAGAGGCCCTACTTGGGGAGGGCAGGCAGCACAGGCTCTGCTGTCACTGAGGGTCCCACAGGGATGAGACTGGGGGCCAGGGAAGAGGTACACCGCTCCCCTCCCCCGCCCCAATCACCCCACTGCCGCTGAGGTGGGCTTCTCCTCTCTGGATCCCTGCTGGACCACCCCTCAGCATCCTCTGTCCATGAGGTACTGGTGGCCCCTAGCCTCCCAACTCCTGCTCTTCAAGGCCCACATCAGGTCCCAAACACCAAGTTTATAAATTCCTGGTCTCAAGAGAGAAAGGGAAGTGATGACATCATAACAGTCCAAGCAACCAGTTCCCTCAGGTCATAGCTTCTCTTAAAAGTTAGTTTTTGAGAGCTTGTTGCCCCCCTCCTTTCATTCCCACTCAGCTGGGTACAGCAGCAGGTGGTGATGGAAAGCGTGCTGAACTTGGAGCCAACCAGACCTGCCTTCAGACTTACCTCTGATGCTATCCTGCCACATGACCCTGGCTGAGTCGTGGAACCTCTCTGGGGACTAGTTTCCTGGTCATCAGTAAAATGGGGAGAATGTTACCTGCTCTGGCTATACAATGAGATTTGGAAAAGGACTTTGCAGTAACACGCTGCACAAGGGGATCATGGTGTTCCTTTATTCCAACACCTCCTAGAAGGGAGATGAGGGCTTCATCTCTACAGGGACCTGAATACAGGACGACTGAACAATAAACGATTCAGAGACATGAAGCTACTGCTGACCCCCATACACCACCCGTTACCAGGTCCCCTTGTTGGTTTTGTGATGGAGATGGAAGAGGACAGGACTTAAGGGACCTAGGGGTTGGGGTATTGGCTGGGTTCCCGTGACGCTGGGCAGGTCAGCCCCTCTCTGGTTCCCGCTTCCTCGCTGTGAAGAAGAGGCTGGACTGAATCACCTCAAAAGTCATTTCTAATTCTATACCCAGCCGTTCCTAGAATGAGTCATTTCTGTTTCAGATGACACAGCCCATCAGCAGCACCTAGCTCAGGCAGGGGCAGGTCTGGATACAGTGGGGTGGCAGGCAGGAGTCAGTGAGAGGCTGAGCAGATACCTGAGTGGCCTGGGAGCCTCCCGCCAGGCTCCTGCAGGTGCCATGGGGCGGGGGGTATGGAGGCAGCCTGGGAGTCCGTGGGTCCCCATGCCCCAAACCCTCACACAGCCTAGGCAGATAGCTGAGGAGTAACCAAGAGACTGGCAGGGGAGAGATGGTGCTAGGGAGGAGGGAGAGAAAAACTCCTTAAAGGACAAGGGCGGGGTGGGGCGGGGCTAGTCAGCCTTTGACGTTCTTTCCTAGAGCCGGAGTTGGAGATGGGCGGAGCCAAGGCTGGCAGCTAGCTGGCTGGCAGGGACACCCGGGAGGAGGGGGTGCCCACCACAGGAGGGTCTCCCTAGAGCAGGCCTTGGGCTGGGCAGGGCACACCTGTGCACTGTCCTCACTAGAGCAGGTGTTGGGTGTGATGAGTCTTGCAAGGGCAGGTCAACCTCATACCCCGTCAGCTCCAGAGAGAGGATTAAATCTCAGGAGGTTTTCCCTGGGGTTCACGGGGAAGCAGCTCCAGGGAAATAAGCACATTTTTGTTACAAGCCTCTGGTGGCTCGCCCCTGCTTCTACAGTCATCTCTATCGAGAGTGGCACAGGGCCTGCCTTTCCACATGCTTTCCTGACTGCAAAGGGGCAAATACTGTCCACCTGTGAGCAGGGGATGTGGCCCGTGAACCAGGACACCAAAGTCCCCTATTCCTTGCCTCTTTCTTGGGGTGGCCCCTTAATCTCTCAAGGAGAGGTGCGGAGGGACCACTCCCCTTCCCTGCCGGCCTTAGCCTTCCCATTTGCAGACAGGCTGAGAGTGGCCGGCAGCGGGAGTCCTGGATCTCCCTGGCCTGCGTCCTCCCCAGGTGACAGTCCACTCCCTGTGGCCCCGCCCGGCTGCTGGGTGGGCTGGCGGGGAAGGGGGTGAGGCCGGCACCTTATCTCTCCCGGAAATGGAGAAACAGAGGACTCATCCTACTGAGGGCGCCGATAGGCATCTGCCCCACCCCTCCCCAACTCTCCCGGAGTTCTCTCCAGCTCAGATACTTATCGCTCTTCGGGGGAAAAAAAAAATCAAGACAAGCTAGTCTTTCAGGTAGTTTCGAGGGAGCTCGGACTTTCTCACGCCGGCTCAGAATCAGTCTGAGAGCATGGGGCCTGAAGGTTCCCCCCCGGGGGTGGAGGAGGGATCCCGACGCTCATTCAGGGACGGGGCCCGGGACGCTGACACCCGCGACCTGCGCGCCCCTTGCTCTCCGGCGTAAATGTGCCAACAGACCTTCACTGAGCTCCTCCGGCGCCACCTTAGTCCCTTGGAGGGTCCGCATCCTCCCCTCCCCGCGGCCTCGGCCACTCGGGGGGACCACACCCGGGTCACGAGCTGCACTGCCCGCCACAGTCCCCTTCGGGCAGGGCCTTGAGTCCCCAGCAGAGGGGGTGCTCCGTTTCTCCCTCCTGCACTCGGAGGGGATCGGGGTGGGAGCAAACACCCCCCCACACACACACCCCCGGCTCACTAGGGCCCCGCGCCCCCTGCCCGCCCCGCTTCGGACCAGCCCCGGACCAACGCGCCCTCCCAGCCCGTCTCAGCCCCCGCCGAGAAGCCAGCTGGCGGCCGCAGTGCCCTCTCCTCCCGCCAGGAGTCTTCTCCTGCGCAGGCGATGCCGGTGACCGGCAACCCCGACCGCGGACCGGGTGCCCGGGGTGGACAGGTGGCCCCGGAGAGGAGCGCGCGGCAGTCGCGCTCACTCACCCAGAAGATGAAGTTAAATCCGAACAGCAGATATTTGATGCACTTGGTGCCTCCTTTGACCGGCATGGTGCACGCTAGACTGGCCTGGGCCGGACTGGTGTGGGACGGGGGCGCTTGAGGCCGGGACGGGCGGGACCAGTCTTCGGACCGAGGTGCTGGCGGCTGCGGGTTGGCCTCAGGGCTGCACTTTTAAAAAGTGCCACTCCTCGGGCGCGCGCCGCCGCGGTGCGCATGTGCCGGGCCCCGCCTCTGCCCCCGCCCTCGCCCCCGCCCCCGCCCTCGCCCCCGCCCCCCCGGCCCCCGCCCCCGCCCCACCTGCCCCGCCCCGCCCCGCCCAGGTCCGGTGGCCGCAGCCCCTCCCGCCTCTGGCTCGGCCCTTCCCACCGAGTCGGCCGGCCTTGACTTCCCGCCATCCTCCCCGTTTCCTCCCAGCAGTCCTGGGGTCTTTCCAGTCAGTCATCTTCGGCTGCTTTCGTCCCGGAGTAAGTGGAGGCCTCGCCCTTCCGGTTGTCCCCTGGTTTCCGTCCTTCTCGAGCCCTCTGCTTTGGGAGACCCCTTCCCCGGTGGTCGGGGCCGAGGTCCCTTAACCCCAGGCCGGCTGCCGCAGAATGAGGGCTCTTCTTGCTTTGGCCTCGATTTAAACAGAAGCTGCCTGGCCTTATGTATCCCTGGGGCGGCTCCTTGCAAACCTTCCCTCGTGAAGCACACTATTACTCGGCACAGCATGCGGAGCAGGAGGAATTAGAAGCTCGCCGTCCAGGTGGGAAGATCGGTCGGAAGCTTATGGGAGTAATTCTCAGATACCATCACTGAATAGTAATATGTCTGAGGGCCGGGCAGTCCGGGAGTGCTTCCTGGACTTGAGGTTCAGATGGCCCAGAGGAGAAGACAAAGCCTGTAGCCTGGCTTCTGTTCTTGCCTCTACTCCCCGTCACCCGCGCTCTTGCCCTTTGACTCTGCCCACTGCTACCTCTTTGAAGCTCCAGTGCCAGAGTGCTTAGGGTGTTTCTCCCCCGCTCAGAAATGTCCCGCAAATGATAAATGTTGGCGAGGATGTGGAGAAAAGGGAACCCTCCTCCACTGTTGGGGGGAATGTAAGTTGGTGCAGCCACTATGGAAAGCAGTATGGAGGTTCCTTAAAAAAATTAAAAAGAGAACTACCCAGCACTTCCACTCCTGGGTGTTTATCCGAAGAAAATGAAAGCACTACTTGAAAATATATTTGCACCCCTGTGTTCATTGCAACATTATTTACAGTAGCCAAGATAGGGAAACAGCATAAGTGTCCATCAATAGATGAAGGGATAAAGAAGATGTGTATATACACAATGGAATATTACTCAGCCATAAAAAAGAATGAAATCTTGCCACTTGCAGCAACATGGATGGACCTAGAGGGTATTATGTGGAGTGAAATAAATCAGAGAGAGAAAGCCAGATACTGTATGATTTCACTTACATGTGGAATCTAAAAAACAAACGAATATAACTAAACAGAAACAGAGTCATAGACACAGAGAACAAACAGGTGGTTGCCACAGGGAAGGGGGGTAGGGGTAGGAGAGAATTACGCGAGGGAGATTTAAGAGGTACAAGCTTTCACTTACAGAATAAATGAGTCATGGGAATTAAATGTACAGTGTGGGGAATATAGTCCATAATTATGTAATATCTTCGTATGGTGACAGATGGTAACTAGCTTATCATGGTGATCATTTTGAAATGTATAGAAATATCGAATCACTGTGTTATGTATCATGAACTAACACAGTGTTGTAGGTCAATTTATACTTCCAAAACAAGCAAACAAACTCAGAAAAAGAGATCAGATTTGTGGTTACCAGCGGTGGGGAGGGGAGGGGAAGGGGAATTGGAGGAAGGTAGTCAAAAGGGACAAACTTCCCGTTTTAAGGTAAATAAGTACTAGGGATGTAATGTACAATATAATACATAATTAACACTGCTGCAAGTTATAAAGGAAAATTGTTAAGAGAATAAATCCTGAGCTCTCATCACAAGGAGAAAATATAAATATTTTTCTGTTTCTTTAATGTATGTGTGTGAGATGTGGATAGTCACTAAACCCACCGTGGTAATCATTTCATGATGTATGTGAGTCAAATCACTATGTCGAACACCTTAAATTTATAGAGTGCTGCAGGTCAATTCTATCTCAGTAAAACTGGAAGAGAAGGATTCTTTCTGCAGCTCCCCACATTCAATGAGATAAGTTAAAATTCCTCATCTTGCATCTGTAGGGGACACTCTGCCCTCCCCAGCACCCCAGGTCTGCACCTGGCATGTGGTGTGTGCCCTCTGGCTGGCCTGCCTTCCTATCTTCACTTGTAGAAACTCTATGGCCCCTTAAACATTCCTTTCCTGTTTCTCACCAGAGGATGAGGAGATTCCCCCTACTTTTGAAATCCCAAAACCCTTTCGTATTTTTTTCAAAATGAAGTTTCCTTTGGTGGTTTTTTTTTTTTTAATTACAAAAACAAAACCTGCTCAATTACGGAAACATCAGAAAATACCAATAAGCAAAAAAAAAAAAAAAACCCGTAACTCAAAATAACACTCACCAGAAACAGCCTGCGTTACCACTTTAAAGTACATATTTTGCTCTGTTTACTATGGTTGTTAGATCTGTCTCATTGATGCATTCATTCAAAAACACCTTTCAGTATCCTGTTATGTCCTTAGGGCAGGAGGGGGATGAGCATGTTACAGGAGGTCAAGGAGAGAGGCTTAAAGGCCAGGGGGGCTTAAAGGAGGGGCCTTTGACCCAAATTGGAAAGCATGCTGCAGAACCCCAGGAAAAGTGGTTGCAATCATGGGAGAATTAGGCAAAGCTGGGGCTGGGGCCGTCTGGGGTCTGGGCTGGAGCTCACAGTTGGGGGAGGCGTGTAGGGAGGTGAAGGTGGGGATGTAACTAGAGGTGCCTCATGGTCCTGGACTCTGCAAGCGGGGGTGAGGGGTCACCGAAGTGTTTATAAGCAGGGAACCTGTGCTTTGGATAGTTGGGTGGCTGGTGGCAGGGGCCGGTTGGGGGTTGAGGGGAGGAGCAGGCAGGAGGCTCCGTGAGGACAAGGACCATTGCCTCGATCTCCAGGCCTTGGCTCAGAGCTTTGGGGGGTTAGACTGAAAGGTGAGGTGTATCAGGGCACCTGCAATTGGGGAGCGGGGCAGCAGGAGACGAAGGTGAGCTGGGGACCCGTGGAGGTACGTTAGGAGGCTGTGGAGTAGTTCAGGTGAGAGACCAAGGGGTGGGGCAACGGGGTGGAGGCTGGAGAGAGGGGGGCAAACCAGGAGAGGGGGTAGCGAGGGCAAGATCAGAGTCAGGCCAGCTGGAGCCGAGGAGGATTTCATTCATTTCTTCTTCCAGTGTTTCTGGAGAGCCTGCTCTGTGTCCTATACATACCCGATGCTAAGACCCCTGTGACACTGCCCTGTTACCTCACCATCAGCCAATCAGAGAACTGTGCACGAGCTGATCACAGACCCTGCGACCCTTGTCCCTTGCCTGGCTTTAAAAAAGCTTTGCTGAAACCCTTCGAAATCCTTCCTGGAGCTTGGGGGTTTTTTTAGGGCGTGAGCCACCCATCTCCCTGTATGGCCCTGCCCTGACAAACCTTTCTCTGCTCCAAACTCCGACGTTTTGGTGTTTGGCCTCACTGTGTGTCAGGCACACGAACTCGTGCTAACAGGGGGAGATGTTGCCTAGGAAACAGCAGGGGCTGGGGCGTGTACCCAGGTCTGCCTGAGCTGGGAGAGGCTTCCAGCGAGAGGGACACCGCAGCTGACTTTGGAAGGTGGGCCAGCAGACAAGGCTGGGGAGGGAACTCCAGGCAGAGGGAACCATGTGGAAAGGCACAGGCACAAAACCACAGGCAGCTGCTGGGGAAACCACCATAGTGGGTGAGACAGGGAAGGAAGGAGGACTGGGAAGGAGCAGTCACAGAAACAAAGTTCCCTAAGTGTGGCCAATAGTGGCCACGGGCAGAGGAGTTTTGATACTCTTTCCTAGGTCACTGCCCCTGACCCACCGTGGCCAAGGATGGCTGGGGTCCAGCAGGGTGTGGGGTGCTGAGGCCGGAAACCAGACAAGGTCTCGTGGTGCTGTTCTCAGCCAGAGTCCACCTGCCTTGGGAGAACAGGTCTAAGGAGAGAAAGGATTTTATCTTTTTTATATTCTCCTCTCCTCTCCCCGCCCCACCTCCTCATTCACAAGTCCAGATGGGAGGAGTTGAGCAAACATTTAAGCTTATAAAAGAAACTCCTTCTAAGGGTAATTGTGAGCACTGACTGAGGTCATCCACCTGCCACTGGAGTGCCCAGGGAATGTTGGCTACTGTTACTATTACTGTTACTATTTACCCTCAAGAAACCATTGGTGGGAGAGGGCTATGGTGAAACATCAAATTACGTACAATCGAGGAGTCCTGAGAATGTGAGTGAGGAGATCTGAGTTCTGTTCTTGATCCCACCCTTTGGTTTATTATGGACAAGCCACCTCCTCTGTCTGGGCCTGTACAGTGACATGTTGAATTAGGAGCTATCAGGTCCCCTCTGTTGTGTGGTGCCCTGAGCCTCCGCCCCAAAGTGTGTTTGTTAGAGGCCTTTAGTCCTACAGGCGACCAAGAAAGGGAGCAACGGAAAAAATACGGTTTTGCTTTAACTGGAAGGGGAAAATCTGGGTAAGCCCCTGAGTCAGAGATCACATGAAGGCAGTGAGGCCTTCCAGGCTGTGTGGTGATGGAGTGGGAGAACTTTTCCTCCCTTCCCTCAGGGCATCCTGTTTCTGGAAAAACCCCTGCCCTGGCTGAGGGTTCACTCTGGCTCTTGTGCCCCACCTGGTGGTAAGATTTGAACACAGGGCTAGGGACCTGAGGACTGGCCACACCCGTCTTCCTGGGCCCCGTCTTGCTTCCAGCTATGGGAGGCGGCTGGAGAACCCACTCTCATGGGCCACTAAGGCCTCCCAGCTGCCACACTGGTGGCCATTTCTCCTTGCCATGACCCTGCTGAACAGCCCTTCTTTCTGGACACCTCTCCCTTGCTGTCCCTGGGGTTGTACCACCCACCTTGGTTCACTCCCTTCCCTTCTAGAAACGTCTTTGCTGCGCCTCTTACTAAGCTCAAATGTCACTACTCCGTGAAGCCTTGAACACTCGGTCTCTTCCTCCACGGATTACCTTGTTTGGATCTCTCCTGTGTGACTCATTGGGCTTCATCGTAATCTCTCCTGTGTACATGTTTTGGAGGCGAGCTCCTCTAAATACACGTGCATTTGGTTAGTTTCTGTGTTCTCCAAGCATCCAGTCCCTTGCTGGTCCATAGGAGCCCTCTGCAAACTTGTGAAAAAACTGCCAGGGAGTGGGTCTCCCTCAGGCATGGCTCCTCTGTCCTCTGCTCCCCTCTTTCCCTGGACGTGCATCCCCCCTTGTTCCTCCCACCATTTTTCTTTTGCGCTTAAATTCATCATGATATCTGAGGGCCTGTAGAGCATTTCCCTAACCCTAATGTCCCCGCAAATATGCCCACATCCTAACCCCCCAAATCCATGAAGATACTACCTTCCATGGCAAAAGGGATTTTGCACGTGTGATTACGTTACAATCTTGAGATGGGGAGGCTATCGTGGCATGTACTCATGGGCCCAGTGTAATCCCACGAGTCCTTAGAAGAGGCAGGAGCGTCAGAGACAGAAAGGGAGACGTGGAGGCGCAGGCCGAGATGGGAAGGACGCAGGGCCACAAGCCA